TCTCTCTCTCTCTCTCTCTCTCTCTCTCTCTCTCTCTCTCTCTCTCTCTCTCCATCAGTCTGTATGTTTTTCTATTGCTCTATCTACCAAATTCTCTCTTCCTCTATGTCTAACCTGCTGTTAAATTGGTCTATTTATTTGGTAAATTGGGGTAATATATTTTTCAATTCTAAAATGTTTAATTGCCTTTTAATATACCCTGGTTCTCTGGTGGAATTTTACAGCCTCTTTACCTATTTTCTCAAGGATATGTTCACTGTATATTAAAGTCCATGCCCGATTGTGCCAGTCAGAGCCTGGATCACCTGTAGATCTGTTACTATATTCTATTTTCTTCCTCTTGCCCTGTCTCTTAACATGCCTGGCAAATTTGCATTGAATGGTGGATAGTAGAATAAAAAAAAAATGTGTCAACTATGTGGTTGAGTCTTCAACTTCTGGAAGGTGCTGGGGTGAAGGAAGATCCACTTGTTTGGGCAGGGGCTTCACTCTTGGCCCTCCAGTACCTTCACACTGATGGCTGAGACCCTCTCTCCTGGCTGTTCTCGGTAGAGTTCAGCTCTGCTGCAAGAGAGCTCACTTTTCGGGGGTCTTTCAGCTTCTGCACCTTTGCATGTGCTGTTCCCTTGTCCCTCTTCCTTCAAGACTCAATGGCTTCTCCCCTCCCCTGAAGCTTTCTCTGGCGGCATCCCTCCCCACCAGTTCCATGCCACCCCAGTGGCATTGATTAGGAGCTTCTCCCCTCTGCCTCCAGTTCTTGGGCTTATCCACACTGCATTGGAATGACTTGCTGATGAAGAGTTTGAGACCAGCAGCCCAGAGCACCCCCCTCCCAGGGGTGTTATATTTGGCATACGCTGCGTGTATTAAATGCTAAGTGCATTGATCACATCTAAGAACTAGGAAGCACAATCTTTTACTTATGACATCTTTTGGAAAGTCTAGACTCACTGGGCTCACCCCCTCTCAAGGGGCAACTGCTCTCCAGTCCTCAGTCTGTCTGTCCACCCATCACTGTACTCATCCAAACCCCTTGCCAATCTCAACTGGCATTTGTGTTTGCAACCCTGGTCTATGTGTAGGCCTCCCCCCAGTTCAAGAATTATACATGTTAGACCTTGTGTTCTTCCACCCCTTTCCCAGTACCTACCATGCCTGAGGTGCTGAGAAAGTCAGTCCATACTTGTAAACTTTTCTCTATCAAAATACTACCTAAGCACTTCACCCAGGGCAGTGAAGCTTCTCTAAAATAGTCTCACCACGGATACTTGACATGATGCATGTTAAAAACCACAGGACTGTGTGACCCAGAGTGGACCCTAATGTTAAACCGTGGACTTCCATTAACATGATCTTGTTGACATTGGCTCATCAAATATTACCAAATATTACAAATACACCACCCCAATTCCAGATGTTCATAATAGGAGACCCTGGGGTGGGGGGTGTATAGGGCTGCTCTGTACTTTCTGTGCCATTTTTCTGTAAACCTAATAGACTAAAAATATAGTCTATTAGTACGAATCAATCAATGAATGTATACAAATACCTCTGACCAGAGTAATCAAACTAAATCTAACAAAATAAGTCTCTCCCAAGGCATGCAAGTCAGGAGACATGAATACCCAGCCATGCATACTAGCACTTTTAGGAGCAGCAGGGAAATAAACCATCCCTGTCTGGGGTTGTGAGTTGGGGGTGGGCACTAAGACACAGTATATATGGTAGCTGTGCCACCCACACTCTTAGTCAGGGGTGCTGGCAAAACAGGAGGAGGTTCAAATAACAGCTCACAGGGAGAACCAGCTGACCACCAAACAGACCAGAAAAGGCCAACAGGAGGCATCGACTGAACCCACCCAGCTCCCCCAGACCACTGGTGGTTCTCCAAGCCTGACGTTTTGTCCTGTGTCTTGTATATGATGTAACAGAGCTTAGTCGGCGTCCACTCGGCTACACATCTTAATGCGTGACCTCTTCTCTCCAATAGTTGTCTCCGTCTTCTGCAACTGAGTTACTTCAAACACTTAAGAAGGGATGAGAGAAGCCAAGGCTTGTAGATTGTAAGCTTCAAGGGAGCAGGAAACAGTTATTTTCTCATTAATATATACATAGTAGAACGTCCCTGATAATTGTTGAGCAAGGAAGTAAATCAGCCTGCAAGATATTCAGCTTTGAATCACAATCATATGGGGTAACGGGGGCTTCCTCGTGGAGGGAATCTTGTAAGCCACTCCTCCATCCCACACGTGGGTATTTCCAAGGACCCATTCACATCCGTGCATCCTCTGCCGAGTGCCATCCCATCTCTCTCTGGGCTGCATGGCTGCATGGCTGAGGGCATGGCTGAGGGCATATGCTCCCGGAGCCTGCTGGGAGGTGGCCCCATGGCTCTTGCCTGTTCTGACCATGGGCAATGGATGGAGAAGTCAGTCCTGCTCTGCTCCTGAGATGGTGACCCGCACATTCTCAGAGGGGCAATAAAAATGTGTTTTGTGTTTTCAATGAATGGATTTGGTAAAATGTTTTCTTACTTTTTCCTAGACATCGCCTGGTGGTATTACCAGTATCAGAGAGGTAAAAAAAAAAAAAAAAAGTTTAAATTAACTTGCGTACTTTATATTAGTTGCAAAGGAAGAGCTTCTTGATGAAGCATCTATTGTGCAATTAGTCTTCTCATTCACCCACTTTCCGTGCCCCTTGTTAGCAAATTTGACCTGCATAGAAAAAGTTGGGAATGTTCTTTTAGAGATAAGTCCTAGGAAAGGCTTTGCTTCTCCTTAGAAACTGACATATTTTCTTTTCATGAGCAACATAACGTACATAAAACTCAGAGCTAATTTGTGGCTGGAGTGTAGTAACTGCGTAGGACAAATGGCCTGAATTTCTGTGTTCTCTTTTCCCCTCTTGTCAGCATTTCCTGAGGTAGTTTTTCTCTATTTTACTACGTTCATTTCCTATGATCAGCTTCAAGTTCTAAGGCAACAAAGTGGATGTGTTGAAATAGACTGTGGGGGAGGGGATGTGCAGACAGAGGGTGGGACAAGGAGGTTCAGACCTGAGAACCCAAACTCATTCGTCCCCAGGGCTAGGCAGGCAGCTTCGGTGATTAAAAGAAGCAACAGTGAACCAGAGGGAGCCCAGAGGCTCCGGCTGCCCAGATGAGACAGTCCCTGCCCAGCTCTAGTGGACAGTGACCTGGCAAATTTGAGACCTAAGTTGTCAAATAATCACATTTTTTTCAAAAGAAATCAGGAATCCAACCTGACACATGAATCTCTCACTGTAAACATTCGCAACCAATGAAAAACACATGTTTTACAATGAGACCTCACATTGGGCTGGATTCAGCCCACAGGCCACCATTTGCAACCTCAAAATAAGGGGTGGGCATGAAGTCCAACCCAGACACCCCTCCCTAGAGAAGCAACCTTAAGCCCCAGGGGAAGGAGGCAGCCAGGATCTTTGGTCATGGCCGTGTTCAGGAGTCTCACAAGAAACATCTCACCGGGAAGAAGACCGTAGCCGCACAGTCTGAGGGTCTAACTTACACTCAGGCGTGGGGCTTATTAGGAACAGGACTACCTCGGGCTGGTTAAAACCAGCTTGCAATTTGCACTGGAAGGAAGTAGAAGCCACTGTGGGGATCCATAGCCCCAACAAAAGAGCTGGGACTGTCTGGATTTGGGGTCCAACTCTGTCACAGTTTGCCTATGTGACCTAGGACACAGATATAAACTAGTTAGTGACAGAGCTTGTAAGACATATTTGCTAGAAGCCCTAGCATGGGCCCCCGTGTGTTTTAAAGACATAGAAACTCAGGAAGGTGTAAGCAAACAATGCAGAGTTTGCTGTCTCTTAATCTGAGAGGGTCTAATGCTCTCTCTCATCCTACTCTCAGAACAGCCCAAAACCCTGAAACACCGAGAACTATTTAATCTGAGTCATCGACTATTCCATGTGGGAATCTGTGCAGCACCCTCTGGTGGGTTATTCCATCTCATAATTACCCCCAGTGGGAGAGGTTATCACTTGGTGAGTCACTCAGACAGAAAATCACCTGATCCAATAGGGTAATTGTCTTCTAAGTCCCACTTGGGAAGGGTGGGGACCTTCCCACCCCCACCCAACACCAAGTTGCATAAAAACATTTGAACAAAGAGAAGGCGTTCAAATTGATTCTTGTTAGGGAGTCATTTCCATAGTATTAAATCTCTGATTTAAGTTCCTAACATCCACAAGCAACTCCCTAGCCTCTGGAACCCCCAAAATGTGAATTCCCTTTTGTCCCTGCTCTTTTCAGACAGAAAAATCAAATAACAATGATTTGTTAAAGCAAATGAAAGCAAAAGCTCGGTGAGCACTATCCAAACACCCAGATGGGACTGAGACTGGATCTGTTGCATATGGAAATTGATCCTGCCATGCAGACAGCAGGCAAATCATTTATTAATAACTTCCGGTTCCACCTTAATGAAGTGGGTCCAGTCGTTGATGTTTCAATAATTACTTGGTGCATTTTTAATAAAGATGATAGGAAGCAAGTAACATTTCTGAATCGGATTCTTTCTACTTTTGCAAAGAAATTTCCCTGAGCTAGGAAAGAATTTGGTCCCAGGAAGAATAAGGAATGAGACCCCACTGCAAAAAGAGTTTCATGCTTTGGGATAAGTGAAAACTCAACAGGTAGACTTGATACCTTCAAAACTGCATCGTTTTTTCTAAAAATTCCTTATTTCTATTTTAATTTGATTTTTGCTGCTTCCCCTTCCTTTACTGGGCCCATGCTGACAGCAAGGGGTAATAGGAGGGATACTAAAACCTCTGTGGCCTCTTCTAAAGTTTCTTTGGAATATATGCACAGTTTTTTTTTTTTAGAAAATTAAAGAATATATGCACAGTTAAATATATGTGCATTTTTACTATTGGATCTAATAGTAGGAGATTTAAACCAATATTTGATTTCTGTTTTCAAATGAGTTTAAAATATACATAAAATATATGTAAGCATCCTAGATTAGACTTATGTGGATTTTTTTCGTTTTCTCTTTTTTTTTTTTCCTTCTATTTCCTGAGAATCGGCCCTTTCATTTACATAGAAATGCTCCAGTGTTTAGATAATTGCTACTTATCTCATTAGCTACAAACATAACATTAAAGGCTCTGCAAGAATTATGAAGAAATGGGCCACTTGCCACTACGTTGTATAAACAGAGTGCCTTATTTATATTGGATCATCTGCCTCACTCCCAACAGGATGAGGTGATATGTGTTGTTGCCCAGCACATAAGAAAAGATATCAATTAGGAATTGTTACCAAGTTATTGGAGCCTTATCCCTTACCTTTGGGAATATATACAAGATGCAAACTTCCTTTGATGGATTCCTTTCTCACTGGAATCAAAACCTGAAAAGGGAAAGTAACAATTGCAGAGCTAATGTGTCGCAAAGAGATCAACCCTGATGAGAGCAGTGCATAGAATTTAAAGCATCTGCTCAGCCCTTTCTCCCACAGGGACGATCAGCCTCTCACGGGTGTGACGATGACGTGGTGTGTGTGTTCCAGACGCCCATCCATCTCTCTGCTAGTTTTGCAAGTTCAGATTTACAGTTGTTCACTCCATGGGTCTAATGATGTCTGTCTGCGTGACATGGGTAGGCAGGGAAGGTCAAGTGGTTATTGGTTCTTTATTGGAATAAATTTATTGAAAGCATTCCAGCAGAGCCCAAAGGAAAAGAGTCACTTATGCCTCTGATAATAAAGCATCTCGAAGGTTCCACTATTCATGAGTGTTGTGATCCTTCAATGCAAAGTGGACAAATTGCTGGCTTTACTGGGCACTTTCTAAACAGCTAGTGCAACACTGTTACCACATGTAGTACCCTCTGAGGAAGAGTAGAAGCAACTCTCAATGGTTTGGTGCCTTTCAAATGCTGCCAGAGCTTTTATTTATACAAAGTAGCTCTTATTGAAGTCATTTTCCTAGTACTTAAGAATATCTTGCAGATACTATGAAACAATACCATGTAAAATGCAGATTTTAAAATTAGCATGTAACAGTCCACAATTAGAACTTTTGACTAAGTCATGCTAGTCTTCCTGCAGGTGTCCCATGCCAAGAGACTTCAGTTTTCTCTATAGATTTGTTCCCTTTGCTGATGGGAGAGTGTTTGTCCTTCTGCCGGCTTACCTGTGTCTGCAGAATCCGAAGGTCCAGCAGGCAGCAATTTGAATATGCTAAAAGGGTGTTTGGAAAGGAATTCGGTTCCACTTCCGCCTTCCTTTCCCTACCTCCCTGTCACAGCTAACACTCCCTCCCTTTTGGCATCTGTCACACCTAGAGTCACAGAGTAGACAGATGGTGAGACAGACAGTACTGGTCAGGGAAGTGGGGTTCCGGGTGGACTCCAACTCGCCACCCACCTATGTCCCACACTGACAAGAGTGGCCTCTGAGGTCATGCTCCAATGCCGTCCCCTCTGGTTCCAGATAAGATTGAAGATGAGCTGGAGATGACCATGGTGTGCCACCGGCCTGAAGGACTGGAGCAGCTCGAGGCCCAGACCAACTTCACTAAGAGGGAGCTGCAAGTGCTCTACCGAGGCTTCAAAAACGTAAGATGGGGCAGGCACACGGGCTCTGCATGGGTGAATCCTCCCGATGTCATGGGAGCCCCCAAGGGAGTGTCCCAGATTTGTGGTTGTGCAAGGGAGGCCACCAGGGCAAAGGGGGCACAAGATCAGCTCCAGGTGAGGGCAGTCAGCTGGTGGCACAGAAACTCCACAAGGTGGCGCCACCATGGGAGACTGCCCTGGCCTGAGCCAGCCTTGGCTGCAGGTATTCACACCCTCATCTTGGTGCAATTGAGCTCGCTCACTTAGCTAATCAAGCTCACACGGGCTGAATGTCCCTGTATTCGTGGACCATGAAATACAGACTGATAGTGGGACCAGACACCCCTCTCCTCTTGCTGGAACCTCTTCCTGTGAGCTACACAGGAAGCCAAGGGGTAATTGGGGGTGGAGTCAGGGGCAGGGAGTTAGTAGTAGCTACATTAATACATCCTGCCATCTCGGGGAAGTAAGTATCAAGAGTTCTCAGGGGCCATCCTGGATACTGGTTTTATTTTATTTTTCTTTTTTAAGCTTAAATCTCAATGCAAACTTTTTCCCAAATCCTGGGATGGATTGGGTTAGAGGGAGGTGCTCCTGTCACCCTCCTCCAGGTGCAGCCTACAGGCAGAACTTGGTCAATTCCAAACTGACCACAGTCTCAGTGTTCCCAAGGCTGTTAGGGATTCACATACCTCCTGAAGGTATCTGACAATCCTGGGGCACCTCCCCTCCTACTGAGCTCTGGTTGTGCCTGTCCTATACCTGGCTTGCTGCCCTTGGGCCTCTTCCTTGCGATCTTGACGAGGCAGCTGGATGGCAGCAGATGGCACAGTGTCCAGAACAGAGGGGAATCAACATGGGTTGGCATCGACCGTGGTTCCATGCCACATCATACGTTAAGTTTACAGTTCTCAAATATGTCAATGAAGTTGACATGAAAATAGGTTGGAAATCATAATCTTGAACTTATGTATTATTATATTAATATTGTAATTATTATGTTCTGATTTTAATATTATATGATAGAGCATACACTATGTTAAGTTTTTATAGGTGGTCCATGTCGAGACGATGGGTTAAACTGCCCAACAACCTTCTTGGCCCCCTTTCTACAGGTCAAGATGTTGGGGATCAGAGACTGACATGACCCTAGTCACAAAGCTTAGAAATGCTTTAACCAGGATCCAAAACCAGATTGTTTAACCCTGAAGCCCCATTCTTTCCCCTGTGTGGCGTCCATTCTCAGATGACATCTCATCATTTTGCAAAACAGGTTTGGTCCTAAGGTGGGATCACGTCCCAGACACCCACCTTAGAGACACAGAAATGCATGGGTGCTGTGCAGGGCTGCCCACCAGGGATCAGAGGAACCTGGACCCCAAGGGTGGGTCCAGGCTCCTCTCCTGGGGCGGACCCCCAGACATGTCCCACTGACTCTCTCCCTTCACCCAGGAGTGCCCCAGTGGCGTGGTCAATGAAGAGACCTTCAAGCAGATCTATGCCCAGTTCTTTCCTCATGGAGGTGAGTCTGACCTTGACGAAGGCCCTCTCTAGTCAGCACCGTCCCTTCCTCCAAGTCCACCCTCCTTTCCCGTCCCCTCCTCATTAAAGCTGTGGGGTTCTCTAAAGCGTTAACAGAAAAGAGCGCTAAAAGGACCCACTCCAGGAGGGGAGGGAGGTGGGTGGTGTCCCTCAGAGGTCTCCTGGCAGCTCTGGAAAGCAGGTATTGTGACCCCAGAAGGAACAAGCGAGTTTCAGAGACCCTGGGCATGTTACCAGGACCACACTCTAGTGCATGACAGACAGGGGGATCCCAGAAGTGCCTGGGGCCAAGCTTTCCACACCGGCTCCTCCATGGGGCCAGACTCTTTTTGAGACCAGCCAGAAATTTGGGAAAGAACTTTAGCAACTGCTAGAGACTATAAAATAGACGAGTCCACCAAGATACGGACAGCTCGAAGTCATGCTTGTGAAGCTGCATAGCAAGGGTACTGGACCCCCAGCACCTGCTCCATCACCTACCTGATCCTTAGGGACAGCTCTGGCCCCAGGGACCTAGGGCCACATTAGTGGCCCCTCCTGAGACTTCTGTGTGTCATATGCCACCTTGCATTCTGTCCCCAGGAGCCATCTCCTGCAGAATCCTGTCCCTGGATCTAGACAATACAGAGATCCAAGTCCCAAACACGTTACAGACCCTGCTGATCATGGGCCTACTCAGCAGCAGACGGTGCCTCCATAGGTGCCCAGCACAGGCCCCAACCCAAGTTGAGGGAAAGTAGCTTTGTCTCACGCAGGCCCCAGAACCGGTTTCTTGAGCTCTGTTGAGCTGTCTTTGTCAGGTTTCGCTGGGTAGCAGGTGGGGCTCTAGTTTAACATACTTCTTCAAAAATGTCAAGATATAGGTCTTACTACCTGGGTGTCCAGAGATGGGAAAGGGAAGCTCAGAGAGGTTGCTTTAGATGCCTCCAGACACACAGCTCTGTTGTAACAGAGCTGCCACCCAAGCCAGGTCTCTGCTCCTGAGCAAAGGCTCATTCTGTAGCACCACATGGCTGCTCAGACCCTCACACAGTCGCCAGCCAGCCAGCCAGCCACCAGAAGCTACATGCACAGGGAGGCTGGAGTCATCTCGAGATGGATAGAGGAGGAGCAAGGGCATGTCCCACTGCTTACTAGAACTACCCACCTGAACCCCAGGGTTTGAGCCAGTGGGCTTCAGCCTACCAGTCTCTCCTTTCGGTCGCCCTCTCCTTCTGGCCAAAACCCTGCCTCTGTGTTTAAAGCCCCCTTCCCCGTGTGGAGCCTAGCTCCTCACCTGCTCCCTCTCTGCCTGCAGACGCCAGCACCTACGCCCATTACCTCTTCAACGCCTTCGACACCACCCAAGCGGGCTCCGTGAAGTTCGAGGTATGCTAGTCTCTTGGGTACACTCTGGGAGTCCCCTGCTTCCTGTTGCCTCTCCCTCTAAGTCACAGGGTCCTGGGGGGAATGGGTCAGATCAGAAAGCTCTCAGTCAAGACAAAGAAACTTTATCCATGTGATGAACATTTCCTAAAGAGAGAGAGAAGCAACTCTCCCCACTCTCCAGGTTTTCGGGGACTTGGGGTCTGAGCCCGACAAGTTTAAGAGTTCACTTGCCCGCTGACCAGGGCCGCCTCTGGACTCAGCGTTGTGCATTGGTCATCTCGTGGAATCCTCACGATACCCCTTCAGGGCTGGGCTGAGTTGCTTCCTGTCATTTTCCTGATGAGGAAAGTAAGGCAAAGACAGGCTGAGCAGCTCTGCCAAGGTCGGAGAGCTAGTAAGTGGCGGAGGCGGGCGGGAACAGGGGCAGCCATAGTCCCCGTCCAGAGTCCCCACCGGGAGCTGCTAGAGCATGACAAGCACAGGATTGCAAAACTGGGGTCAGTCTGGAATGGAGGTGGCCTTACTTAACTGCCTGGGGGTGACTCACAATGCAGAGCTCCGTTCTCCCCCAAGGGGCACCTTCCTCACAGCGGGCAGCGTGGGCAGTGCCCAGAGGGAGCTCCTCAGCCAGCTTGGCCATAACCTTTGGGCACACCAGACGTGGAGGGAGAGACGTCATTCTATAAAAGCCCCACAGGGTCTGACCCACAGAGCCAGCTAGCTGCCCAGCAACTTGGTGGCTCACCCACTCCTGTCTCTTCTGCTTCAGGACTTTGTAACTGCTCTGTCGATTTTACTGAGAGGAACTGTCCATGAGAAACTAAGGTGGACATTTAATTTGTATGACATCAATAAAGATGGATACATAAACAAAGAGGTAAGTGAGCTGAGAGCAGGGGCTGACGGGGACAATGGAGGTGCCAAGAGACTAGGAAGCAACTCCCAGACATGAGGATAAAAATTATCTGAATGACGTGGCAAATCCACTTTGGGGCCACAGAAAATGAGCTGGTCCCAGAAAAATGAACAAGGCGCCTTTGACTATCCCCACTGCTGGCCCTGCCCTGTTCCCAGGTGCTGGAGAAAGGATTCGGCAGCCTCCGTGTCCTGGGCCACACAGATTCGGTGCACACCACCCACGATTTGTTTTAGTGAAGGCCTCCTCCTCATAGGGGACCTGCATTTTAGCCAGTTAGCAGCCACACGTTAGAGCCCAAAGCTGAAATGGTGGGATGACAGGCAGTTCTTAAAGAGAAAAGAGGTTTCTAAAGTAGAGGGAACTACCATGGGATCGCCCCAGCACAGCCTCACCTAAATAAAGCCAGAGAGAGGAAGAAGGGAGGTGTCGCTGTCTTTAAAGAAATCATGCCAATCAATCTTGGAATCATTGATTGGCACTTAGAGCCTCAATACACGTTCAGCTGATGAGATGCTCACAGGCCTGTCTCAAAACTCACTGTGATTGATGTCTGCTTGAGTTGAGCATCCGAGACATCCCATTTGCTGAGCTCCTATGTGCCAGGCATGGTGCCCAGAGGTTGGACATCCTCTCTGACCTTCACCTCAGCCCTGCCAGGTTCTCTTGGTACGGAGAGAACACTGATGCTCAGAAGGTTTCCTTAACTTCATTCCTCATTCATTCTGTCTCGTGCTGCTCAACACCTGTGTGAGGGTTCCCAGGTGTTCTAGGTGCTGGAGAGAAAGAGGCAAACCATCAGACCCGGCTTGCTCCCACAGAGCAGCATGGAGGAAGGACAGTAAACAGGCCTAATGCAGACAGATAGGCAGATGTCTTAGCAGGGACGGTCGCAAAGGCGACTAAGATGGTGTTGCCACACTGGTGCCAGATATGCAAAAGGAACAGCCACTTGAGAGGCTCTGAGGCAAGACAGAGCTCCTTGGAAGACACCTTTAGGGAAGTAGAATTGCAGGGCCAGGGTGCAGCTCAGGAGTGGAGCACGTACCTCATGCTTGAGGCCCAGGGATGGGTCCTCAGCACTGAAAAGGTAGGGGGCAAATGGAAATGCAAGCCAGAGACTCGGAGAAAAGGCTTTTAAGTTCTATACCTTGCAAAAGGTTGGTGTCCAAAATATAAAATGAATGTTTATAATTCAATAAGAAGATAACTCAATTAAAAGTAGGTAAAAGAGCTAAACAGATACTTCAGAAAGGGAGATAAATGAATGGCCAATAAGCCCATGAAATATTTCTTCATATCTCTGGCCTTCAAAAAATGCAAATTATAACTGTAACAAAATATAATTATACACCCAGCAGAATGGCTGCCATGAAAAAGGCCACTTGCTGGAAGGATGTGGAGCAATAGAAACTCATGCAGGCTGGTGGGATGTAAGATGACACAGACACGTAGAAAATGTCTCAACATCTTTGATAAAGTTCAACATGCGATTAACATAGGATCCAGAAAACCCACCTTCAGGGATTTACTCAAAATATGTAAAAAAAAAATATGTAATTCCATAAGCAGAGCTGTTCATAGCAGCTTTCTTCATAATAGCCCCCAAACAGAAAACAACCCAAATAATGTCTGCTAACTGGACAATGGATAAACACATTGTGGTGTGTCCATGCAATGGGTTACCACTCGGCAGTAAGAGGAAATACATGATGTTGCCAGCGTCAGTGGCCCTGAGTCCCATGAACCACACCTTCAGTGGATGAAGACAATTCAGTTATACTGCATGCTTCCATTTATCTGAAATTCTAGAAAATGCAAGTGATTCCATAGTGACATAAATTTTACCAGTGGTTGTCTGGTGCCAGAGGTTGACAGATACTGCAAAGGGACATGAAAGTACTCCATATCTTGTGTGTGTGGCAGTGACATGGGTGTATGCATTTTTCAAAACTCATCTAAGGGTACACTTTATATGGATTAATCCGTTGTAAGAACATTATGCCTCAATAAGTTTGACTTATTTTTTTTAAAGTGTACTATAAGGCAGAAGTACCTAGGGCTAGGCATAGAAAGTGCTCAAAAAAATGTGTTGAATGAAAAAGAAAGTCCCATCAAGCAGAAAAGAAAACAAGAGTCCAATATCACTCAAAATATAGACCACAAATTCCAAATGAAATGAATCCTAGTACTCTAAATAAATGCATATGACTAGGATGAGGTTTATTGCAGGAATAATTCAATAGTAGAGAAAGTCTGTTAAATAATTCATCGTATCAATATATCAGAAGATTAAATGATATGATGCTAAAATCACATTCGATAAAATTTACCATCTATTCTTGATATTTTTTAAGAACTGCTAATAAATTAGGAGTAAAATACTTCTTCAGCATAAATACCCCAGCATGATACCCAGTTTCATATTTCATAGTGACACTAGAGGTTCCCAGTTATAGCAAGAATGAGACAAGAGTACACACAGCTCACCCACACTGTTACTTAACATTCTCTAAAAGTTCTTCAAGTATGATAAGTCAGAGAAAGAAATGAAACATAAATACAGGAGGTTGCAATATCCTTTATTAATGATACTATGTTCTATCTGGAAAACAAAGACAAGAAAATCAACTTAAAATAATAGAACTTAAAGTTATATACATATATATATCAAAAAGACGTTGGTTGATCAGTTATAACTAACAGAAAACTGTAACAAAGATATTATAATACAATAGTAAAATGTAAAGCACATAGGTATTTTTCAATATCCATAATTTAGATGATAAAAGGTTTTGGGGAAAATACAAAAAGGAAAACGTGAATAAGTAGAGAGACACACCATTTTCAGAAGGCGAGTATGTTATAAAGACAGTAATATTGTAAAGATAGCAATTATTCTCTAATTAACTAAATTTATTTTACTCCTACTCAGAATGAAAGTGCTATTTGGGGAGGAAAATGTGCACAGTCGTTATAGAGTCACATTGGAAAAGTAATCAGATGAGAATAGCAAAGATAATTTTCGAAAAGAAAAATGGTGGCACCGACTCTACCAGATAATTACAGAGCTAAAGCTTTATAACAGGTGCAATGAGGGGAAGTGGGTCAGTGGGCAGAAGAGAACACCAGGTACAAGTGAGAGCTGGGTTTAGGATAAAGGGAAAGAATAAAATGATGACTGATAATTAAATTATTCTGGGGAAACTGGTTAGCTACTTTGACAGTAAACATTCCCACTTATACATCCAAATTAATCATAGATATATAAAGTTGATTTTGAACTCTCAAAGAACTAGAAGTCATACACAGACACCTGACCTTGAATGAAAAACACATAAAGTCAAAGTTAGAAGTAATAAAAGAAAACTATTGATAGTTTCACTCTACAAGTCTTTTTCATTCTGTACATCGTAAATCATCATAAACAAAGTTGAAAAGCAAATGACAGACTAGCTAAAATATTTACAACCTGTAATCCTAGAAAGGGCTGATATTTCTAGCTAGTCATCTTAACAAAAGCAAGGGTATCTCCCGTGCTTACCTTTGCATTTCCTTGAAGCAGTATTGAATATGTGGTAGATTTTTTTAAATATCTCTTATGTAAATTAGCAATTTTCAAAGTATAGAAAGAGCTCTCACCGTCCAATCAGAAATAGATAACACAATGAGTAAAATAACTGAACAAAGTTCACAGGAAATGACGTGAAAAATAATGAATGCCTAATGTTAAAAATCTCACCAAGAAAGTGAAGTCTATTACAACAATGAAATGCTATTTGTCTCTCAAGTTGCAAAGATGGCCTGAAAATTTGTATGCTATTACATTTTTAACTCAGAAAGTAGGATGCATGGTGTTCTCTCAATACCCCAAGAACCAGTGTCCTTGGAGAAGTGGTTGGTCCCCGGATTGACAGAGAGAAAATACGAGACAATCCTGGATCCCGGAAGGGACATGTAGAAAGGCTACTGGAGTCACTGAGGCAATTTAAGCAGCAAAATGAAAAATGATGATGATGGGTTATCACCAACAAAATGTAGTAAAAAAAAAATGTAGTGAATATGTAGTAAATATCCATCAGTTCATACTGATACAAATAAAAAATCAAACATACACATAAAATGGGGAGAATTCCGTTTAATTAATGAACACAGAAGGAGTAAAGGGAGTACAGAATCAGATTAGACAAACATCACAAAGGTAACTTTTGTAGGCAAGATCCACAGACAGACACTGAAACCAGAGGAGAAGCCACCACCTCAATCAAGCACTTGAGGCCAACATCGCCAGCAATGAGACACCAAGACATAGAGCACTGCTTCTGATCATAAGAAAACCAGGTTCCAAATCAAGACACTTTGCCAACTAATTGACCAGTGTTTACATCGACAGTGCCCAGTCCTGAGGAGACTCAGGACACACAACTAGATGCAGTGGGGGATCCACAAATAGAAAGAAGACCTGGGAGAACTGAGGCAATTTGAATAAGCTACACAATTTAGGTCATAGCATTATAGTGGGTTAATCTTCTAGTTTTGATCATTTTCCTCTGGTTGGACAAGTTCCTATATTAAGGAATATATACATGAACTCTCTGTATTATTTTTGTAACTCTTCTGTAAATCTAAAATCATTAATAACAATTTTTTTTTTTTAGAAAAACTCAAGTGCCCTGTCAATAATCCTGACGCTTGGTTCCTTTTTCTTCATTCAAAACAGCCACAGAACCTGTGAGGGTTTTTAAATCTCTAAGCCAGAACATTAGCTTCTTTGAAATTCAGAATAATATTTCAGCTTCCCCAGCCTGTGCATGGGGACTCCCACGTGTCACCCCCAATTGAGGACGATACCCAGCTGACTACCCGGGAGCTTCTGCGGTCAGGGAGAGTGGCCTTTGGTCTCCTCTCCAGGAGGAGCCTGCCGGGTGACAGCCCGTCCGTTTGCTGTTGACTCCTTCTCATCTAGTTAATTAAGCACAGGGGGAACCAGGACCCCAAACCCTGTCACCTCAGAAGAGCCTGACCTCGGGGTCCCCACCCGTGTGCTTTCCTGTCCCCTCTCCAGGAGATGATGGACATTGTCAAAGCCATCTATGACATGATGGGGAAGTACACGTATCCTGTGCTCAAAGAGGACACGCCCAGGCAGCACGTGGACGTCTTCTTCCAGGTGGGTGCCATGCGCCACCCACCCGCTAAGGTTGGTCGCCCGAGCATCTGAGCACAGGGCCTGTGTCCAGTCCTATGTGTGGCCCTGCGGGGAACAGGAAGGAACCCTAAGATGTATTGGCCTCGAGGAGCCCCTTCCCCTGTGAAGCACAGGCTGCAGAAGAGAACATGAAAGTGTATTAATGGATTAATTAATAGATTAATCCCAAGTGGAACAGTACAGTCTAGAGTCTATAAAATGCTCGGAGCGTCTGAGTGAACCAAGAACTGTCTGATCGCTTGCGGTGCTGACCACTTGTGTCTGAGGGGTAGGGGGATTAAAACTAGGTGGGTCAGACTGTGATACCTCTAAATGGAAGTGCCTTGCTCTAGTACAGGAGGGGGAGGGAAGGGGAGGGGGGATAGTAGGGGATAGGAAAGGTAGCAGAATACAACAGTCACTAATATGGCATTATGTAAAAATGTGATTGTGTAACCGATGTGATTATGCAACTTGTATTTGGGGTAAAAATGGGAGTTCATAACCCACTTGAATCAAATGTATGAAAGATGATATGTCATGAGCTTTGTAATGTTTTGAACAACCAATAAAAAAAGGAGGGGGACACTGTTGACCTTTGAGAAAGCAAGTGGCATCATCCTAGTGGCATTTGGGTAAAAATATTCATCTAGCAGTGGAGTAACCTCAGAGCGCACTCCAGTCCACTTTGCAGATGGGGAAGCGGAAGCTCCCCCAGCCAGCAACAGAAACGGAACTGGAACCTCTTGTGTCCAGTGTTCTTCCTGCCAGGGGACAAGCTAGTGGCTTCCCTGTGCTAGGGCTGGAAATGTTTGGAGTGTACCCCCAAAGGCTCACATGTGGGAGGCTTTATCCTCAGTGTGGAGGTTGAAGGTGATGGGACCTATAAAAGGTGGGACCTACTGGAAGGTCATTAGACCCCTGGACATTGCCTCAGAATGGATTAAAGCTGTAGTTCTCATGAGAGCCAGTTGTTATAAAAAGAGCAAGACTCTCTCCCCCACAGTCTGGCTTCCTCTCTCTCCATGTGATCTCTTCCACATGGGCTCCCACCATTGCAATGCCATCCTCCACGAGACCCTCACTAGAGCCAAGCCGAACCAGTGCCATGATCTTGAACCCCCAGAAATGTGAGCTGAATAAGCCTCTTTTCTTCTAAAGCACCCAACCTCAGGTATTTTGTTATAGCAACAGAAAACAGACTGATACAACACATTAGGATGTCAGCAGAAAAAAAATCGATGTCTGGAACCAGTCTTTTGATTTAAAGAAACTCACCAAGATCAAAGTGTTATAACCAGGGCCCAAACGGAGTTGCCTGTCTGGTGAGAAACTTTAAAGGTGAGCTTTGCAATGCAGATTGTCAGGTTCTTTAATGTGCTTCCTGTCATATCTTTCAGAAAATGGACAAAAATAAAGACGGCATCGTGACTTTGGACGAGTTTCTTGAGTCCTGTCAGGAGGTAAGGAGAGACCTCAGGCCACAATACCCCTAAATCTGGGAAAGGAGACCTGGGCTTGGGTACCTGAAGAAAAGAATGAGAAGCCTGCACATTCCTCCATTGAGAGCCAACAATAGCCACTCACAAGTTCAGGGATCCCTGGCCTGTGGCTGGTTTGGCTAAGAGTAGGACTGAGCAGACAGCCCAAAGGCAGGTTCTGGGGGGTGAAAACCCAGAGGGGACCTCTGTGAGTGGACAACACTGCCATTTCTCAACCTGCCTCTAGCTTCATGCCCTGTTCCCCAGGCTACAAGGGAAAAACCCACTCTGATTCTCAAACCGTGGTGTGCATAAAACTCCCTGCGGTGGTTGTGAATGTGCATATTACACGCCTTGACTATAGATCTGGGCTGGGTCTAGGAACTGTCCTACAAATGCCCTGGACCAGCGTGGCCAGAACTTTAATGTTCAGCCAACCTCCTTGACCATCTTGCTAAAGTGCAGACTCCACCTCCCAAGGTCTGGGGCGGGGCCTGAGAGGGCACACCCTCCCAGCTAACCCAGGTGTTGCTGGTCCTTGGACCAAACTTCGACCAAGTCTAATGAACAGTCTAGCCCCAGAGCCTCCTCCAGAGACTGAACTGGAAATAATTTCTTCATCTACTTTAGAGGAATACACGTATACCTCTTGCACCTTATTTCAGGAAGGTACACAGTTAACTATGAACTCTACCCAAGAACTGAAATGTGAGAAAGCAGAGGAGTTATTGACACATACTGAGCACCTACCACGTTCCAGGTGCATTACATAAACTTTACAATAACCCTGTGGAGTAGCTGTCGTGCGTACAGGGGGACGCTCTAAATATTTAACAACTAGAACAGACTGAACATTGACCCCTTGTGATGTACCTTGACCAGCGCCCTAGAGGAGCCCTGCAAAGTTTACATTAGACCTTTAGTTGATGGGTCTTTGGGTGGTCCAGGGGTCCTGGGAAAGTTGTTGGGAAGCCAGAAGGAAAGATCCTGGAGTCAAAGGGGAGGCCCAGGCCAGCAGGTACTTATCAGTAGGGTCAGAAATGTCTTAACATTTAACCATTATGCACCGACTGAAAAGCAATGTTGATCATTTATTTTCAAGAAGAGAAAACTGAGGCCTTACAAGGTTAAGAAATGTGACTCAAACCACAGTAAGTGATGCAGATGGAATTTAAACTCGATCGTTCTAATTTAAATACCATGCCCTACTGAGGTGTGTTTTCTTGACTTTGCCTTCTAAGAGTGGCTTTTGAATCATTTTCTTCCATCACAGCAACAGTTTCTATAGCTGTTCATTAAGTAACTCATTTCTTTTTTGCCACCCACGCCATAGGCAGTTATTTCCATCCACCCAATTTTATACATGAAGAAAAAGAGGCACTGGGAGATTAAATAACTTGCCCAAGGTCACACAGCTAGGAAGTTCCAGGATTTGAATCCAGGTTGCTTGACTGCCATATGATTAGCTGCCACATAGCAACTTAAAAAGATTTCAGACATTCACAATCAACTTTTTCTCTGTTGATATTTCTCTCTATTATAGGTCTGCTTTCTATTTCATTAATTTGTGTTCTAATTTCTTCCTTCTTCTTTCTTATTTTCCATTTTCTAGGGTTTGAGGTTTTCCCAGTTTTTTTTTTTTTTTTTTTGAGATGAAAGTTTAGATCCTTGGCTTGTAATAATTCTTTTCTAATATTTAAATTAGGGATAAATTTCCTTCTGAATATTACTTTAGTTGAGTAATGCTTTAGATGCCACAAATTTTGAAATGTCATATTTTCAGTACATTGTAATTCAAAATATTTTCTCTGATGCATAGATTTAGCAGTGTGTTCCTTGATATACAAATATTTGAAGACTTTCTGCATTTGATACTTACACCTTAGAAAATATGTGTTAGAAAAAATGTAAAATATAGACACTCAATAACAAAACCAATAAAGCCAGGAGTTCTCTCCTTGAAAAAAAAAAACTAATAAAATTGACAAATGCTAAGACTGAATAAAAAGAGAGAAAACTCAAATTGTCAATATCAGGAAAAAAAACAATAACATCACCCTACAGGTTTCATAGACATTAAAAAGATAATAGTTCATTATCCAGTAAGTTTGACATGAACTCCTTCAATCCAGACAAGGTGGTGCAAGCCTATAATCCCAGAGGCTCAGGAGGCTGAAGCAGGAGGATTTTGAGTTCAAAGCCAGCCTCAGCAACTTATCAAGACCCTAAGCAACTCAGCAAAACCCTGTCTATAATAAAATGCAAAAAAAAAAAAAGGGCTGGGGATATGGCTCATGGTTAAGTGGTTAAATGCCCCTAAGTTCAATTCCCAGTACCCCCCAAAAAAAATCCTTGTAAAACTCAACTTATTAAAGTTAATACAAAAAGAAATAGAAAATCTAAATAGTCCTTTGTCTGTTAAAGACACTGAATCATGGGGCTGGGCTGTGGCTCAGTGGGTAGAGCGCTTGCTTGGCATGTGTGTGGCACTGGGTTCGAGTCTCGGCACTGCATAAATGAATAAAATAAAGGCCCATCAACATCTAAAAAATACATATTTTTTAAAAAGACACTGAATCATAATTTAAAACTTTCCCCCAAGGAGAATGTCAGACTTAGATAGCTCTACTTGCATATTCTCCCAAACATGTAAAGAAAAAATGATGCTAATCTCTTCTTTTTATCTTACTTTTCAAAAAAAATTTTTTTAGTTGTAGGTGAACATGATGCTTTTATTTTATTTATGTATTTTTATGTGGTGCTCAGGATGGAACCCAGTGCCTCATACATGCTAGGCAAGCGCTCTGCCACTGAGCTACAACCCCAGCCCCCAAATGATGCTAATCTTGTACAAACTCAGGGAAGAGAAAAAAAGGGGAATCTTTGCAACTTGATTTACGAGGCTATTATAGCCCGCATATGGAAACTTGCAAGGTTGGTTTAACATTCAAGAATCAGTCAATGTAGTTAATCATGTTAGTAGAATAAAGAAGAATAAAATGTGATCATCTTCATAGATACAGAAAAAAGCATTTGACTCAGTGCCCTTGTTTCTTAGAGGAAAAAGAAAAGCAAACAAAACATAGTTTTATTGGATGATGTGTATTTTTTTTCTGAACTCCTCCTTAGGCTAGAGGAGGCCTTTTGCCTTGGTTGATCACGTTCTAGGACCCTTTCCTTCTTCCTCTCATGCCCTCCTAGAGTGCCTTCTGACAAGAAACCCAGCTGGCCAGAGTTATCCACTTCTCAGCCAGGACCCTGGAGAGTTCTAACCACTTCTCTTCCCCTTCTCCCTTCCCAGGATGACAACATCATGAGATCTCTCCAGCTGTTCCAAAACGTCATGTAACAGGGGACACTCAGCCATTGGCTCTCAGAGACATTGTACTCGACAACCACCTTGGCACCCTGGTCTGCCCTTGTTCTAATTTTACACACCAACTCTTGGGACAGAAACACCTTTTACACTTTGGAAGAATCCCTGCCGAAGACTTTCTAAGATGCCTGGCATCAGTGGCTCAGTCTGATCGCCAGCTCTTCCTCTTCCCTCCTCTTGAGAGAGACAAGATGAAATTTGAGTTTGTTTTGGAAGCATGCCCATCTTGTCACGCCGCTGCCCCACAGAAGGTCCCTCTGCTTGAGCTTCAACAGTAGTGCACCGTGTTCTGCTTACGTGCCCCTGCCCGCTGCCTCCACGTCGAGCAGACCTCGAGGAGTCTGGAAGCCAGAGGACCTCAGCCAAATGCACACCATCCTCTGATGGCCTCCCAAACCAACGTGCCTGTTCCTCTTCCTTTGTGGGAAGAGAGTGTTGTACTGAACAATTAGAGTCGACCGTGTCTAGACAGGGAGAGGCAGCACCTAACTCACGTAGAACAAGACGGAATTCTGAAGCATGGCATCGTCTGATGACCCAAACTCCCACAGCATTCGACTCCAGAGGCAAGGACCAATCATTCTCCCACACAAGCATCTGTGCTAGTTCATGCAAGTCCCCTAACACGCCCAGGGCGGGAGCCGTGGCCCAGTGGTGTGTACCGCCTCTCCAGCCCCTGCTCACGCCCAGCACTGCATGGCCCTCCCAGAAAGCCCAGAATGCCTGCAAATTGCTGTGATTTTATACCATGTTCTAATCAATAAACCGAACTATTTCTTACGCTCTCAATCATTTCTTCCATGACTCCACTGGGCAGGAGGGGTAAGCTGTGACAGGGAAGGTCCATTCATTCACCGGGGCATCCAGTTATTAGCATTTCCTTTGCCAGGCAGAAAAATCTTCGTCCCTAGCCCCAAGCCAGCTGAAGCAGCACCCCATTCAAATTCAAATACCATGATCATGTGCAAATGCAGCTTCAGGGGAAGACCCCTCACAACCTCTCCCTCCAACACCTTTGCTCTCCCAAGACCCCCTAAGGCAGAAAGCCTGGAGCCCATGTGGTGTGACTATGAGGCGGATATCACTTTCTGCTCAGGGCCTTGAATGCAGGGGTCAATAAGAGGCTTCATCCTACAACCAGAAGATGATCACTTAAGCCAAACGCCATGTATTTTCTTTTTCCCATTTAACATAACATTAAGAGCAGACAGTAGCATTCTAGGAAAGAAAAAAAAAAAAGCAATTTACTGAAGCCCTATTATGTGCCAGATGCTGCACGAGGGACGTTATATTCATTACCATATTTCAGGCTCATAGTCTATAGAGCATTCCGGAAGGTAGAGTCCATATGGGGACTTGCCTAAGGTAGCACAGCTGATAAAGATTATGGGGAATTAAACGCTCCCCACTCTCTCCTTGCCCCAAGAAACTGGGGGTGCCTCCCACAAATCTCACTCATCTGTAGTCAGTTCAGACGGGCCTGGGGGTTCTTTGAGCCCCTATAATAGTTGAGGAAACTGGCACGGGGAAGGGGGATATCTTGGGTGGCCTGGATCCCTAGGAGCAGGCCACCAACACATCTTCTGTATGAATCTGATGGCCACTGGCTGCTGCCCTCCACAGTTGGAGAGCTTGGCAGAGCTTCAGCCCCGATGCAGTTGGGGCTTCCTGGGTGCAGCTCCGGGGTACCTGAGGCTGCCAACAAGGGGCTAATGAAACAGATGGTGAAAGGCAGGGAAGGGAGATTAAAAAATAAACAGAAGTCAAGCCCTGAATGTAGCCGTGCCTCTGACCCTCTCAGACGTGTGCAGGATGCCCACAGAAGGTCCAGGCCAGCACCTTCACCCAGACTGCAGGACATCATCACTTGGGAGCAGAGGGGGGCACTTTTTGAAGAGCCAGGTGCCTGGCCAGCATCCCAGATGGAGCCAGCAGAATCCCCAGAGGCGCCCCAGCCTCCCTGGCTACAGTTCTCCAGGTGGCGCTGACCTGCCCCAGGGCAGAGGAGGGCCTGGTACCCCTCCCTGTGATGGCCAGCTCCCAGGTCAGAAACCAAATAAGCCCTGGCACCCAATGTTAAAGGAAGGTCAGCAGCTGGAGCCACTTGGGCAGAGATCAGAGTGGAAGGAAACTCAGAACCATCTTAGATGGATGATTGGCAGATCAGGGAACAGCCGTCCTGGTCAGTACGAGCCAAGGAGCGTCGCAGCAACGACAGGGCACTGGCCCCATCTCCTGCTTCCTTCTCAAGGGATGGGCTCCTCCAGAATCACCCAGCACACCATCACCATTGCCATCACCTGCCCGCAGATGGGGACTCCAGTGTACGGCTCTTGCCGCGGCTGCCGAGCCCATGGCTCGGACCTCGACTTTGACCAGGCAGGTGGCACACACTGCTGAGACTTTCCCCAGCAGCCCCACCTGCCTGTGGACAGGGCAGGCCAGAAAAACCAGGTCATCAACCTCTGCCAGAAGCAGCCCTGCCCCACGACCCAGATCCCTCCTGTCCGTAGCGGGTGGTGCAGGGCTCCTCTAGTCAGACAGCCCCCTGCTCACAACTGGAAGCTGCACCCCTGAGATGGGTGTGTGCCCTGCCGTCGTGAACCTCATATTCCAGGAAACACAATGGCTGTAGATAAAGCGGCATAACAAGAATACCTGGGCGACAGGACAGAGAGCCACTGGGGCAGAGCAGCTGGGAGGCTGGGACAAGGGGGGACCCCAGCATCTCTGAAGAGCCGACACTGAGCTGGGCACGGCCTCAGGCCAGGAAGCTCACCCTGGGCAGGACCTTACTTGTGTCTTGCTCTGCTTTTTGGATATGATTTGAATGTGACCCCCACCCACTCATGGGCTGGAAGCTTGGCCCTGGTGTGGCGACATGAGGAGGTGAGGGGACCTTGAGGAGGGCTTAGTGCAAGGTAACTTGGTCACTGAGGATGCTGCCCGAGAAGGAATTGATGTAGTTCTTGTGAGACCCTGGTTGGTTCTCCAGACAGGACTTTACGAAAGAACAAGCCTGGCCCCTCCCCACTCTCCAGCTTCCTGTCTCACTGTGTGATCTCTCCCTCTCCCTGTCACAATGCCATGTACCATTAGATCCTCACCATAAACTGGACCAATGGGGCCATACAATCTTTCAGCCTCCAAAACTGTGCACTAAATAAACCTCTTTTCTCTATAATATAACCTCCAGTGTTTTCTTATAGTAATGAAAAAGCAGACTAATAAAACTCTGTGGGACAGATATACAAGACACCTATTGTTCAAATGAGAAAAAAAAATGATGCCCATAAATTGGGGGGTGGAGAGGGCTTACCCACACAACTGGAAATACATTTGAAAACCTGCCAAGCTCCAAAATCCATGCCCAGCTTTATTTCTTAGAGAGTATGAAAACCATTCTCACTATATTCCTGAAACTAGCTTTAATGATATGCAAACACCAGAGGTGTTGAAAAGCAGCTTCCACAAAAGCTACTAGTGAATATGAAAGAAAAAAAGCCCATGAATCCAAGCCAAATCCCTCTTCCTCCAAAGGGGATAACACCAAGAACATGTGCCAAGATGATCATATGGTCTCTTAGAGAAGCAGAAATAAGTATCAAAATAAGGCCCAACTTCACTGGAGGACCCCAGTAAGCTCTGCATCCCAGTCTAGTGGCTGGCTGGGACGACAGAGCTTAGAACTCAAGGGTGAGGGACAACCCTGGCGGGAGCCAACCCCTCTGAATGGAGCTTTGAAGACCATGATGTGCTGGGGAGCAAAGCCCATGGAACTAGACCAAGGTGATCACCCTCTTCCTTGCCCCTGGCCACAGTGATTGTCTCTAGGCTGAAAATCTAAGCCAATTCTAACAGCGCCAACATTAAGGCTTCTACGGAGAGCAATGCAACACATTGGCTCACTTTCCTGCTGGGTATGGATGAAAAGCACATAGCCCTGGAGCCTGCAGATGATCATTCTGTAACCTGCAGGGAAGCCAACCTATTGATGAACATGGTACACCAAGGAGGTCAAGGAAGAGAGACAAACATGGATTCCTTGATGGCATTGAACTGCCTGCTCAAGCATCACCTGAAGCTACATTTACCTCTACTGTTTTTTTTTTAAGACAAATATTGCTAACTTCATTTTTTATTATTTAAGGTAGTTTGAGTTGAACTTTCTGTATGTAACTTATAGCTTGACATGCTGTCCTACCTCTTCATAGGAAAGATGGGGCAACAAAAACCCACAGATGCACTGCTGCATGGTTGGTAGCAGAGCTGGTCCAGGAAGCCCACTTCAGTGCCACATCCAACTTACCACTCTGCAATCTATTCCACAGTCACAACATAATAATGTCACATGTTAGTTATGAAGCACTTACTATGTGATGAAGAGTTCACAGATATCTACCCCATTCTATACTCACTGCCCTGAGCTTGGTTCTAATTATTATTCCCATTTACTAAGAAGGAAACAGGGCTCAGAGAGGTTATGTAACACGGTTGTGATCCAGTAGCTAGAAGTGGTAGAGCAACAATTTGCAGCCGAACTTTCTGACTTTTGTTCTAAATCACTACCACAGGAACTTCCAAGTTCAATGTGTACAGGGAGCCAGGGAGATTGAAGAAGTGAGTAGCAAACCACAGGACACACACCCAGAATGAAGGAGCCGCTCTGGGGACCCTGCCATACTGTTGCAATGTGGGTGGGCCCAGCATCGTTAGACCCGACCGTTTTCAAGAAAAATTGAAAACCTGGACTCATTTGTAAAATCCTCTGATTTTTATATTCTGGCAACTAGTTCAGTATTTAAAAGACACCACACAAGCCAAAACAAACCAGTGTAAGAACTGGATTTGCTCCAGGGGTTATCAGTTCACAAACCCTGCAGTAAATTTGGTTACCATTTTTCCCTGCTGATAAATGACTGCAATACACTAGGCTAATGCATAATGTGATACGGTAGGATGGCCACCTGCAACTAAGCAAGGTGCCAGTAATTAGAATTTGGTAAGAGCCACATGCCTGGCTTTGTTAGCTAGGATTTGAAGGTACAGATAACTAAGAGTTGAGGGTTCAGGTGGGGGGCTCTCAGAATACAGCTTAGATGAGTCATCACTACAGATCCTATGGATAGTAAAGAATATTAAGAATGTCTTAGGAACTACTTTATATACATAAATTCAACAACTTAGACGAAATGGGCAAGTACCTTAAAAAAAACACAGCTCATCAAAACTGACATGAGGACATTATGCTAAGTGAAATAAGCCAGTCAAAAAAAAGATAAATCCTGCATGATTCCACATGCACGGGGTTCCACAAGTAGTTAGGTACATCAAGACAGAACAGTGGTTCTCGCTGGCTGGGCAGAGGGAAATGGGGAGCTCTGGAGCTTTGTTTTCCTATTCTTTTCCTTTTGTTTTTATTTTAAACTTATTTTATTACTTTATTTTTCTATCTTTAGTGAGAAATACTTGACAAATAAAAACTTTCAACATTTGAGGTATACAATGTGATGGTTTGATTTACATATATACTATGAAACAACAACCACAATCTAGCTAACTCCCACCACCTCACACGGCTACCATGTACGTGTGAACATGTAAAATCTACACTCTTGGCAAATTTCAGGCATACAGCACAGGATTATTAACCACAGTTACCACGCCATACATTAGATCTCCTGGACTTTTTCATCTTGTGTAACTGAAACTTTTTACCCTTTGACCAACATCTCCCCCATCCCCACCTTCCGGTGCTTTCTGCTCCTCTGAATCTAGACTCCACATCT